TTAGACATGATATGCATGTTCTGTGCTAGCCAATAAAATTCTATCGGGATCGCACGTTCGATATTTCCCTGTGTTGGAAGCTGTCCTACCGTTAGACATGATATGCATGTTCTGTGCTAGCCAATAAAATTCTATCGGGATCGCACGTTCAGTATTTTCCAGTGTTGGAAGCTGTCCTACCATTGGACATGACATGCCTGTTCTGTGCTAGCCAATAAAAAGTTATCGGGATCGCATGTCCAATATTTCCCTGTGTTGGAAGCTGTCCTACCATTGAACATGACATGTATGCTCTGTGCTAGCCAATAAAATTCTATCGGGATCGCACGTTCATTATTTTCCAGTGTTGGAAGCTGTCCTACCATTGGACATGACATGCCTGTTCTGTGCTCGCCAATAAAAAGTTATCGGGATCGCATGTCCAATATTTCTCTGTGTTGGAAGCTGTTCTACCATTGGACATGACACGTTACAATTATTTTGTAATACGTTTTAATACTTTAAGAAGATCTTTTAAGAAAAGTTTTGCAGACAATTATGTCTGTTGTATAAAAATTTGCCACTTATTAATTTTTGTTTTTAACAACACAGAATGGATATTATTATTAATTGTACAGTGAATAAAGGTAACTGATAAATATATTTGTCTTTCTTTTCCAAAATATTATAGAAAACCTATTCAAACTAATAATTATGTTTATCTGGAACAAACAGTGTAAAGTTTTGACTAATAATAATTAGATTCAACTATTAAGAAATAGGTGTATTTAGAAACACAGGATATATAAATATAATATAAGGGCGTGTGTTGAGAATTCGTGTTTTCTTTCATGGTACAAAAGCTTACAAAATTGTGTTCATATATGTATATATATAATATACATGAATATTTTTGACTAAAAATACTTAATAATATAAGGGCGTTTGTGGATAATTCGTGTTTTCTTTCAGTGGTACAAAAGCTTATAAAATTGTGTTCATATATATATATATAAGATACATGAATATTTTTGGTTGTTTTTACCTCTAGCATTGAAGATTGTAATTTAATTTTAATTATTTTAAAAAATAGGCTTCCAGACAAACTTCATCTCTGCTTTTTCTGTATGTACTTACTTATAACATGTAAACACTCAAGACGTGACGAATTAAGAATCCAGTTACGAAACACAACAGTCACACTTGAAACATCCACAAACAAAACAAACAGGCTATCGAAATCCGTTCTATGTTCCACGAACAAATGCCCAGTAAATACGGTGAGTCGGGCATGTTTTGGTGGTGAGTGTAGAAATGAACTCTAGACCATTCGTACATTGACTTTTTTGCCGAATAGTCCTGTTAGATGTTATCACTACTCGTTAGCTAACAATGGACCCTGTTGCATTAGTTAAGTTATTCCGGGTCATAACAGGATTTACCAGCGTCCTGAATGGGGAGCATGACTTTTTTTTTATATTGTTCTATACTGGCTTTAAGTTCGAGTTCGAAAGGTCGTTTAGAGATGTTTATATGCAATTCCCATTTACACGACTATAAAATATTTTGATGTAAAAAAAAATAATTTCATGATTTGGTATCTTGTTCAGGTACTACTGCATTGAATTAAATGGTAAATCAGTTAGTAAGCAGTTCCCTAATTGAGGAGTTCTAGAAAATGTCACTTAATCTTCCTTAGAAAAGCCTCTCCTCTTTCAGGTAGCTTAGCAGTAAGACTGAAGGCTTATAACTTTAAAAACCGGATTTCGATACCCGTGGTGGGCATATCACAGAAAGCCCTTTGTGTAGCCTTGTGCTCACTAACAAACAAATCCTTAGAAAATTTCATTTTTCCGGAACATTTGAAACGGAGCACAATCTGCATCGAGAGATGTTGTTGTTGGCATTATATACATTATACAATAGTAAACGTACATTGTACAATGATAAACATACAATGAACACATTGAAACTTGATTGTTAAAATTAGTAACTGCTTTAAGATAATATAATAAGAGAAAACGTTTCAAATTACAGGCAAAAGGTATCTTCATTCTTATCTTCATTAAGAGGAAATCATGCATGTTACTATACAGTATAGAGAACACCTACCAGCATTAGGCCTTGCTGAGTTATCTTTGTATTAGAAAACATCTTCCATCATTAGGCCTAGCTGAGTTATCTTTGTATTAGAAAACATATACCAGCATTAGGCCTAGCTGAGTTATCTTTGTATTAGAAAACATCTACCAGCATTATGTCTTGCTGAGTTATCTTTGTATTAGAAAACATCCACCAGCATTAGGCCTTGCTGAGTTATCTTTTTATTAGAAAACATCCACCAGCATTAGGCCTTGCTGAGTTAATTTTGTATTAGAATACATCCACCAGCATTAGGCCTTGTTGAGCTATCTTTGTATTAGAAAACGTCCACCAGCATTAGGCCTTGCTGAGTTATATTTCTTAATATCATTAGTATATATATATATAAAGCTCGTGATCGTACATTTATACAGGGTATGTGAAAATCTTAAAGGTGTCGCGATACAGCGATACGATACGATTATCATATCGTGAAGCCGTGATACGATTGTATCGATACATCGTCCGATACGATTTATGTATCTTCACGAAATTTGACAAGCTTTCAGTAAACATTATAAATCTTTTGTACAGTAAAAAAATCAGAATTTCTAATAAAGTATTTTTGCTAAAAATTAATGATTCAATAAAGGAAGTTGAGTATTGAGTACTACGTGTTGTCTTCATTTCTTTTATCAAAAACATTACATACAAAGTAACATGACAAATTAACAAGAACAAAATAGATAGACAGACGTTAACTTTTTTTATATTTTACTTCTCTTGCCAACTGCCATTTAGTTGATCAAACCTGAGAATTTTGAAAAAACACTGTAAAGTGTGAAGTACTTAAATAAGACAATGTTTACTTAGGAGTATAGATAATAAATTACAGACAAGACTGTCAAACCTTGTAACAAACCATTGGTAAAACTTCTGTGCTCCCCAGTGGCCCAGCGGTATGTCTGCGGACTTACAACGCTAGAAACCGGGTTTCGATACCCGCGGTGGGCAAAGCACAGATAGCCCATTGTGTAGCTTTGTGCATAATTACAAACAATAACAATAAACCTTCTGTATCTAGATATGTATCGTATCGACTACTATGATAAGATACACACCCCTAGAAAATCTACACTTGTGCTACGTTACCCCAGATTCGTAGGTTAACTTTACTGAAGCGTACCCTGACCGGAGAGGAAAGTGAAAGTCCGACCGTGACATTGTAAGAACGATGGATACAAACTCGTTTAACGGGTTGAACTTCGACTGACGAACGAATCTCCTTCGAACACGGAAGTGAACTTAAAGGTATATAATACCACATTCACGCTGATTGGTTAGACCGGGAGCAAGAAGGAATTTGAACGTAAATATTTCTACTGTTAATTGAATATTATATACTTATATATCCTAAAAGCTAAATACTTAACACAACACTAAACATACCGTTTTTTCTGTGTAAGTGCATTATTTATTATACATACGTATTTCTTTACTGATACTCTACAGCCTAAGATTCTCAATTTGCCATCATAACACTGCAGTGCTTTACTTCACTGGACCATCAATCAACTTCGTACTTACTAGACTTATAAACTAGACCAGAATGACATCGCCACCTATGCTGCTTATCCTTGCGGTTCTGATGTTTGTAAGCTACGAAGTTTGGGGACATGGACGATTGTTAGAGCCACCTGCCAGGAATATGATGTGGAGATTCGGCTATGATGTCGAGTCCAACTTTGAAGATACCGAGTTGTTCTGCGGAGGAATAGTGGTATGTATGTTTCTCAAGGCAAACATAATTGCGAGTCAAGAATCCATTCCTCTATCTCATCTATACACTGTGGGTGGGTTTTGTTTTACATACGTAAAATATCAGAAATTTTAAAAAAGAACCTTCTTGTCAATGGACTCCAGGTTTAATATTATTTTACAATAAATTCCGTGCGAAGATAAGCATAAAAAAAATATATTAAAGAGAGTTTGTTACGTTAAAGTTCTATACAAGTTTATTAAGGTAGAGATCTTAGAAGAATGTATACAAATGTTCATAAAGTTTCGATAGCAAAATTCCTAACATTATTGAAGGGCGAATTGAAATAAATTCTACAGATTTATTTAGTTCGCTAAAAAGCACTTAAGGAAGGAAGAAATAGTCTATTATGTGTGATACTTATAGTGCTTCATAGGTAAAATAAGTTTACACAATAAGGCTGGCATGTGATAATTCTCTAATTTCAGCAAAGTGTTCTTATTACATTCTCAAATTTATGTAGAACGTGTTTAACAGAATGAGAGCTTTTCTCTAGTATTTAACTAATGTATACAAGCCTGTTTATGTATATATATATGTATATATATATTTATTTATGAAAATATTTAAGGATAACTGGAATTTGCATTATCATAGCTATGTCAAGGTAAAAGTACAGCTTTCAATAACGTCATCACCACCCCCAGCTTATTATTATGCAAATCAGCCAGTTGTTTGAAATTCAAATGATTGGTCATCCGGACTATTGTACAGTAGATTTACATAATATTGTCAAAGTTGTCACTTTTGAAGTGAACTACAGAGCTTAAGCTATTATATATTGTTTCTCAACAACGCTTGAATCTCATCTAGAAAGTTATCAGATGAAGAAAGCCAACCAATCACTGGAAGTTGTTGCGTATTGTTTCGTTAGCATTACGTGAAACCTTCTTCAAATTAATGGTGCACCTGCGGATACCTGGACAAGGCGGACCATTCACAACACAAGCAAACGACAGCTATCTGTCGATTTAGCTCGCCTGAATCGTACGGTACCTGTTCTGAGATTGTGTCAGATATACACAGCCACAATTGATTACCATGTCAACGAGATTGTTACAAACAGACCTTACAAGGCCCGCCTGTATACTAGAAACCCAGTGTTAATTTTCAAAGATAAAATTATTACTAAGATTTTCTTTGTGTTTGTTCACGTTTATACAACGTGCTTATACATTTATGTGAAGGCGCGGCCCGACATGGTCAGATATTTAGGGCGCTCGACTCGCAATCAGAGGGTTGCGGTTTCGAATCCCCGTATCACCAAACATGCTCGCCCTTTCAGCCCTGGGGGCGTTATAATGTGACGGCCAATCCCACTATTCGTTGGTAAAAGAGTAGCCCAAGAGTTAGCGGTGCGTGGTGTTGACTAGCTGCCTTCCTTCTTGTTTTTCACTGCTAAATTAAGGACGGCTAACGCAGATAGACCTCGTATACCTCTGCGCAAAATTCAAAACAAACAAACAATTTACCGAAGTTACTTGGGGGAATGTAACGCGTGTCCCAAAGTATTTCTAGGCCACTTTGTTCATCCAAATTCCACTTATTCAAAACAAATATCATGTGTTTAACACGATGAAACTGGTATTATTAACCATTAGGATAAATAAGGCCTTGCCAATAGCACCAACGCATGGCAGCACAAAAGATCAAAGAATGTGATCCAGTAATGCGTGGTTTTATTCGTACCATTCCACAGGGTGTAGAGGTTGGTTCGTCTATCAATGTTTATTAATATCCACACCAAACTCCACACAATATATATGTGTCACATTTCTTTATGGTAGTGGTTAGATTCAGTTTCAGATTATCTTCAAACAAGTATTCATCTGTTATGTGAATTCAGGGTCAAACGTAGCTCACCTGTAAAAAAGAAATGTTTTTGATACACTGGACGTCTTGTTGCTCTACATGTTTTTGACCCATTGGATATCATAGCAGACGATATATTTGGTGGCTTGCTGTGAGCAGAATACAATTCATTTTTGAGTTCTTTGAAATAAAATTTAGAGAACCCGCAAACCTCAGATTGCTAGTCAAGCGCCATAACCACTTGGCCATGCCGGGCCACTTTGGTAAACAATGATGAATTGAAAACAGCTTTTCCAATAACTGTTCATGGTAATTATACTTCATATTGAAGTAAAATTTCAAATACTTTCAAAATGTAAGGTCATACTAAAAAAAATCTTCATTTATCAGCATAGTGTGAATGACAGTTCATTTGAAATTATATGAGGGGTCATCAGATGACCAATTCGCATGGAAATGAACTAAAGAAAGACGATGGACGTTATTTTATAACTCTGGTTTTGCCTTGTCACAGCTGAAATATTATAAATTTCAATTATATTTGTGCCGTATTTAGACAGGTTATTATACTTCATTTTACAACTTTTTAAAAATTCATATACACACGAGAGAACATTTCCTATGAATGTTTATTCATATATTCGCATATAATTCTAGCATCAGTGGAAGGAAAATGTAAGTGGAAATTGTGGCGAATGTGGAGACGCTTGGGAATTGCCTAGACCACGTGAACACGAAACTGGAGGTATATATGCCGGCAACATAACTGTTCGCTCGTTCGAGCCAGAATCGAATATTGATATCATCATTCAACTTGTAGCCAATCATATGGGCTGGTTTCAGTTTTCTCTCTGTCCACGTTCCAGTTGGGAAGAGTGGGAAACTAACGAGTGCTTCGACAACCATATTCTCGAACTAACAGACGGGTCAGGGACCGTTTTGAAAGTTCCCACTAACGACACTGGGCTCATTTTCACGCAAGTACAACTTCCGAAAGGCTTAACTTGCAGTCACTGTGTTTTTCGTTGGCACTGGATGTCAGGTAAGTGCTTAAACTGATTTTTGAAGAATAAATAATGGAAAAATAATACGTTAGGAAATATTCGTCAACACTTTTTTCGAGCTATGTGTCATACTATATACGTATATCATGTTTGTTTCACAAAGTGGACTTCCGTTTTAAGTTGACATAAAATGGACAACTAACATTCGCATGGCAATATCATAATTACGTTGGTGGAGATCACAAACCTATTCCTTCCTTCGTTTCCATTGCTAAAAATATAACTTTTTATGGCAGCATATCTGCTAGGCCGCTACAAATTTTCGACATTTTCATGGACTGATCAAAGTTAATCATATAAAATATTATGTAAGCAATACTTTCCTAATTCTCCTGAAGCATATATATATATATATATAACATTTGCATTCTTTAAGCTCTGACTTAAAACAGGTTAAACCCGGATGAGATCACCCGCTAAATCAAAGGTGTTACTTTTTCCAGACTAGAGTTCACCCACTCTTTCATGGAATAGTTGTATTTTTCTTAACCTTGTGCATTGTGGACTATCTTTCAACTGTCCCGTGGAGCAGAGACTTTTCTACATTCTTCACCTGATTGGTTAGTTACAGAGAAACTTGTATTGAGATTATAGTTTCAAGTCGGATTCTTTAAGAAGAGATAATTTATTTCTGTTCTGGAGGAGCCAGAATGATACAGAAGTCCCGTACTTGTATTACTGTATTTTTCAATCCGTTCATTTTAAGACTTTGCTGCTTCCTAACGCAATAGTCTACGATTGTTTTAATCAGCCCTTATACTGTTTTGATTCTGAGTAAAGTATTCTAACGTGTCCTGTCTCTATTATTCCACCTGTAATAAATTGCTACACTTTTCCTTCCACATAATAAATTCACGAACTCCCACTAGTTGCGGAGATCGGGTGCCCTGCATGTTAGGTTTAATTTTGAGATTTTGCAACATATAAAGGGGTGTCCCAGAAGTCTGGACCCATGGGAAAAATACACAATTTATTCTTAATTTATTTATTATTCAAATTGCCTGCCATTAACAGCCATACACATACCAGTTCTTGGTATACTGTGCCATCAGAGTACTTTCTTAATTGAAATATGTACTATTAACAGTAGGTATGTGTTTATCTTTAAGTTTGTTTGTTTTGAATTTCGCACAAAGCTACACGAGGGCTATCTGCGCTAGCCGTCCCTAATTTAGCAGTGTAAGACTAGAGGGAAGGCAGCTAGTCATCACCAACCACCGCCAACTCTTGGGCTACTCTTTTACCAACGAATAGTGGGATTGACCGTTACATTATAACGCCCCAGGGCTGAAAGGGCGAGCATGTTTGGTGTGACGGGGATTCGAACCCGCGACCTTCAGATTGCGAGTCGAGCGCCCTTACCACCTGGCCATGCCGGGCCCTTTATTTTAACTTTAAGAATATAATGCCTATTTTTCCCATGAGTCCAGACTTCTGGGACACCATATGTTACTCCTTATTGTTTATATATGCTTTGTTTATTAATTATATCAACTGTCACAAAATTGTAGCTTTGTTTACATTAGCACATAATCTCACATTATTCACTTCTTCCCAGAGTAGTTTCGAACACTTTAGGTCGATATATAAAATATTCACTAATCTAAGATATATTTATGGTTTGTTTTATCAGGTATTGAAATGTTTGAATAAGTTTGACAAAATGTAGTCCTATTTACTACTTAATGTACGCCAAATTTGGAGTAGCAGGATCTTTTTATTTAGTACAATAAATGTGACGAACATCAACGCAACCCTGGAGTAATTTTTAACTACTTCATTCTTCACTGATTTAGTGGACCCAGCATGGCCAGGTGGTTAAGGCACTCGACTCGCAATCTGAGGGTCGCGGGTTCGAATCCCCGTCACACCAAACATGCTCGCCCTTTCAGCCGTGGGGGCGTTATAATATTACGGTCAATCCCACTATTCGTTGTTAAAAGAGTAGCCCAAGAATTGGCGGTGGGTGGTGATTACTAGCTGCCTTCCCTCTAGTCTTACACTGCTAAATTAGGGACGGCTAGCGCAGATAGCCCTCGTGTAGCTTTGCGCGAAATTCAAAAACAAACAAACACTGATTTAGTACAGGGCTCTAATAAAAATATGTGTGATTACACTTGAGAAACAGTTCATGTGTTATAGGTTTCATGAAGCTTAGTTTTGACAAAACATAGTAGATAATATGAGTTGAGTTTGTTGTGTGTGTGTTATAAAGTTGCAGTTGGTCAAATAATTTTACCAATTTAGAGAGAATTCCTGGTAAGGAACAAGTCGATGAACTGCATTGTATCTATACAAGTATAATAAAAAAATTCAAAATATTATAAAGACAAGTAGGGATCGATGTATACGTAACCTAGCTAGCTATAGTAATATAGAACGTTTTAAAACAAAAGGTATGGAAACAAGAAAGTCAAAACTACAATTACTGAAGTTACTTATAAATTTGTAAATTTATTTATCCCTTATTTTGGCAATTTTTTTATTATTATTCTTGTTTGTTTCCTTTTTTATTAGCTATATTTTTGTGCGCCAGCAATACCAAGCGTGGAAGGCGCGTATACCAGATTCAATTTTATTACTCATCAGGACCTCTACCAACCTACCCTCAAACCTAATTATATGCCCGAAGTAGTGCATCGTTCGTTTTATATATATATATACACCAGTATCCTTTTCGGTACAAAAAAAGAATCGTTGGGAACCCCAGACTGAAGAGTTCCGTAAAAGAATTAGAGCGATACCGTTCGTTATTTTATCAGTCTGGAAAAGTCACTTACTTACTTAGGTGAAAATTCGTTGAAATAGTTAAATTTTGATCCACTCCATAAACACGTATATAGCGATTTAGGCGGTTTTATAAGTATACTAAGTTTTGATTTTGCTCAGCCAATATTGTAAAATAGCCATTGTTAATAATCAGACATTTTTAAAGGTAGTTTTAAATGGGTGATATTTATGGCCGCCATTTTGTTTCGTTACGATCTTTACTCTTGGTCTACCCTTATCTTACGGGGGTTTAACCATCTTATAATACGCCTACGGCCCCAAAGTTGGGGAGCGCGATATATTTTTTGTGGCGATAACGGGACGCGAAGCTAGGCCTACAGATCTATAGCACAACACTTTAACCATTGGGCCACACTCGCATCCTATTGACGTCATCTGTAGTAGTAGTATTACATTTTATTTCAGTGAATGATGATTTTGTCTTGTTTAAATGTCATTGTCGAATAGTGTAATATAAATAGGTTGAAGAACAAGTTTTAATCATTAAAATACAAACCTTAACTTTCTTACTAAAAGCAGAATCATAGAATAATTATTTAACTGTTGACTACAAAAGCTGAGTGAAAGCCAAAAATATATCCATGAAAATCATAATTATTTTTAATAACTTCCAATCAAAAGTACATAGATCAAAATTATAGAATAACTTATCACTTATAGTGAACATAAATCCATAACTGTGTATACGAGAACATATGAACAAACGATTAGAATACGTTGATTCCTCAGCTGGGCATTTTTTATGTTATTCTAAACACAATACAGCACCATCTCACGAGATCGATAAACTTAGAACACTAAGGTTAGTGTTAAATCTGTATTTTAAGATGAGAAAACAAAATACTTTTCATAAGCTTAAGCATTAATAATAATAATAACATTGTGTTTAATTCATAACTATGACATACGTCCTTGGTCTTATTCTATTTCTCATTGATTTATCATATATTATTTTGAATTTTAGGTAACAACTGGGGTAAATGTGAGGACGGAATAGAAAGACCTGGATGTGGTCCGCAGGAGACTTATCGAAACTGTGCCGATATTAGCATTTTATCTGGCGCTGGAATTCGTGGACCAGGCATTAATAATCCAGGTTCTAAAATACCAGGTCTCTCGACACCGTAACTGTAGAGCTGCACTTGTATGCAGAACGTTCTCCAAACATACTGTATAACGAATATTTGTGTTTTTTTTATCAGTATAATTATAAAATTAATTTATTTTCTAACTTAATCAACAGGATGAAATACGAAATAAAGTTAAAACGACTATAAAAATCATGTCTATATATATTCTAATTTATTTAGTTTGTTTCTCTATTGTTAATCAAAAAAGATACAAAATGGGATGTCTGTAATCTGCTCACCGCGTGTATCGAAACTTGATTTTTAGCGTCTTTAGACATCAGGTTTACCGTGTAGCTGTTGGTATTTAGAAACATTTAGTACATTATACAGGTAGTTTTAAATATAACAATACAAAAATTCTATGCACGTAGGTATAGACTGTCCGTTTGTTTCTTTAAGCTCAAAGCTACACAATGGGTTATCTGTGTTGCGTCCACTGCGGAGGATCGAACCACATAGTTTAGTTTTATAAGCTTACCACTAAATCCATGGGAGTCGTATGTAAAAAAAAAATGTGTTCAAGACAAACCCAGGCTTTGATTACTTTAATGTTTACCAATGTATGGCATTATTTACGAAATGTTCCTTCGTTGGATCGGTGGTAATTTTACAAGATTTGAATCTCCGCGGTGGGCAGGGGGCAGACAGCCCATTGGGTAGCTTTGAGCTAAAACAACAACAACAATCTTTACGGAATTCATGTTATTTTTTCTACAAACCATTTAATAGACAATAATAAACTACGCAATATAATTATATATCATATTCAAAACCACCCACGTCAATGACCTTACTACGATACATGAAATTAGAAGAATTTTATGCTTAGTCTATTACGAATTATGGATTTCTAATTTATAAAGTAAGGGCGACATGAAATATAAAGTTATGTAAGTGAAAAATAAGGTGGCAGGTGTTAAAATCTATTAACTTACTACGATAACAAAAATCTTGAAAACTACAACATAACTTCATTAAGTATTTCAAAGTGTAATTACGAATTATGGAGTTTTAATTTATAAAGTGAGGGCGACATGAAATATAAAGTTATGTAAGTGAAAAATAAGGTGGCAGGTGTTAGAATATATTAACTTACTACCATAACAAAAATCTTGAAAACTACAACACAACTTCATTAAGTATTTCAAAGTGTAATTACGAATTATGGATTTCTAATTTATAAAGTAAGGGCGACATAAAATATAAAGTTATGTAAGTGAAAAATAAGGTGGCAGGTGTTAGAATCTATTAACTTACTACGATAACAAAAATCTTGAAAACTACAACACAACTTCATTAAGTATTTCAAAACGTATTTATGGCCTGTAGACTTAAATAATCATTAGTGAAGGTCATATTATGCTGGACGTGTGCACCATGTCAAGGCATCTTAACGTATTAAAAATCTCGTCTAAATTCAATACGTTTCACGAGAATATTAATTTGTTAGTGGGTGAAAAGTGGTTGAGTCGAGATATAACGGAAAAGATCGTGCACGAAACTGCTAACGCACGGTGGCGCCAGTATCGATGCGGTTCCATCAATGGGCCCCCGCATGCTTCGGAATTGAGCGGTACACGAATTTCACTTGTTTTCCTGATATTTAATTTACCAATTCCACTAGACTTAGTGAGAAATGTGAATATTTAGCAGTGGAGCTAAAAGTACTGGCAGAAAAGCCGATTTAATCGACAGGTAAACAAAATAATATGAGCGATAATACAGTGTTAGACTATTGTTTTGTTACATGAAAACAAGCATAGTTTCAATATGATGGTAGAAACCTTATTCTAAAGTGCTGAATAAAACGATATAATTGTAGCTATTGAATGAAAATAACGAGTAACTTTTGATCACATTTAAACATGTGTATCTGGCACTGTCATTGTCATTTTATAGGGCTAGGATAGTTTCCTCGGTTGTGTCAACTACTGGTTGGTTGAAGCGTTTTATCCTTTTCAGTACTTACTCGGTTCTTCTCATGGACTGTGGTGTGATTGTCTTGGACCAGCTGAACACACTTGGAATGGCACATGGTTTTGCTTGTCATCTTTGGGGTGAAGGTCCAAACAGCATAATAATATATATATATATATATACAATTTTATTTTTATAATATTTACTGACAATCACTTTCCAAGCCTACTCTAGGTTTTAACATACAGGATAAGTATTATTGAAATATTACTCTTTATCAAGTATCATGCGTTACATATGACTATTCATAGGCCTATAAAAATAATGTTGTAGACTAAGCTCAGCTAAGTTGGACGTGGTGAGGGGGGAGGAGTGTATTTTATAAATAAAATTTTAAAACTTGACTCAACGTAAAAAGGTTATAAAATGGGAATAATTTTAGACAGATTTCTAAATGGAAAGCAGAATTATTGAAAACTTTATTAAAAATAGGCCTACTATAGCTAGTTTCAGATACATAGATGTCAAGCACGAAGTGGACATGGCAAACAATAACTCCTTTCTTAGATTTATACTGGTCCCCTCTGAACGCATGAAGCTACTTTCTTGACAATTTCTGATTTGAAGACCACGAATGCCCATCTCTCTTAGAACATCCGGGTACACAGCAGTTCGTTTGAGGCATTTTTGAGTTATTATATTTATGAAGCAAACAGAAAGCACGATAAGAGGGTGAGACAATAAACATGATGAATATAAACTTCCGGTATCTGACTATAGAGAAGGATCGCATCGCTACTAGCGCCCTCTATTGGTATAATTAGCAGGGTCCATCATTATGGAAAAAAATTTCTACCAGAAGAGCTGTTACAAACCTATAGTTACAATGAGCAATATTTTTTCTTAATTATGAGTAACTGGTAAACCCTAAAAAGCCTCTATGACAACTCTGTCTTAAGTCATCAGTTGGGTATCCTCGCTGTTAGCGGTGTTTTCGGCCATTATCCCAAGAACATCTCACGAGGCTGGGACTGCTTATCGAATTACTAAACACCGAAACAGAATGGTCACAGAATGTAAAGTTTCCGGTATCATACATACCATATTTGGACAATGTACTTATCAATATTAAAGATATTTATTGCTATATATTAAATATATCAAATACTATAAAAATAAATATATTGAAGTAACTAAATTTAATACCATAAATTGCTATATATTACATAAACACATAAATTTAATTGGTTTACTGATATATCTCGTGGTATTTAATTCATGAAAGTAAAATATGTACATATACCATTTAAACTACAATAATTTATAATTACAAAATATCCTAATTTTTGAAATAATGAATTATTATGGTTTAAATAGTGAGTTACTTATCGAAAGGGGCTGAACGCCGCCTGGAAGGGTCATCTGTTTTAACTACTCGCACCACTTTACAGTAGTGTGTTGTCTGTTAATCAGACGCTAAAATGACGTCATATACGAGACGTTTAAGAGTGCAATACATACTGTAGTGACGTTAGTAAAACGTGCGCATGAATCATAGAAGAATTACGCATTTAGTAGGCTACAACACAGCATGATATATGGACTTCAAAAGCAAGAAATAAAACTATTTGGTATTCTTAATTTTGGTTTTATTTATTATTGAAACAGAACACTTTCGGGGATCTTGCGGAAGTACGTCTAGTATTATAAATGAGTAAAATACATAATGAATTATTTAAAAGTTCCTATGAAATACATAAATACATATAAACTTATGTCTTATTTATTGTGTGGCAAGTCCCGGCTAGATGCCCACAAAATAATATCACACCTGTGTGTATATGACCTCTAGCGAATCTGGTCAAGTTTTAGTTGTTTTAATCCAACATCATATTAAAGTGATCTTGCTGAAGTGAGGCTGCCCAACGGCAGCTTTATGAGATTTACAATCTAATTAATTCATAATTAAAACAAGCAAATGTAGGTAACAACGTTTAAAGCTTAGTTACATTTTTTGGACTTGGACTTTTGAGTAGTGGCTTATTTTATAGGATAATTTCTTCATTAATCCTCGTACCACTTATTCATGATCATGTATAAAATATCACTGTGTTTAAAATGTCTTGGATCTATTGGGATCTGAAATTCATAGATATTGATCCTCTGGGAATACTGAGAATACAATTAATTCTAACCAATAAAAGAAAAGACAATTAACACGTAATAACGCTCTTGGTACTATAAATATTATATGATATAGAAATGTCAGGTGACAGTTAAAAAATACAAAATCCTCCTATATATATGTGTGTGAAGATTGTTCACAAGCCAAAAATAAATCGTAATTATTATAATTATCATTAAGATTATACAGCTTAATACACAGTTTTCAGATATGATTCACTGCAGTTTAATCACGCTATTATAAAAAGACATATGATCAAGAGTCGTCTGGTTGAAAAGGATCCGAAACTGGCGTATCATTTTATTATTTAGAAAACTAGAAAAGTAACCGTACAGGAATATTGTCTTGTTGAAAAGGATTCGATAATACATGCTGCATTATTTTGTTAGTTACAAAACTAGAAAAGTAACCGTACAGGAATATCGTCTTGTTGAAAAGGATCCGATAATACATGCTGCATTATTTTGTTAGTTACAAAACTAGAAAACGTAGCCGTACAGGAATATTGTCTTGTTGAAAAGGATCCGATAATACATGCTGCATTATTTTGTTAGTTACAAAACTAGAAAACGTAGCCGTACAGGAATATCGCTTCCTTATTTAAAAATATATAAAAAGCTTGAAAAAGATCCGGTATAGGAGTATTGTCTTGTTATTAATAAAATTATATCACACCCATTATGAGAGTTTCGTTTTAAAGGACATCTCATATGATAGAATCGTCATATTGTTTATTAAATAACCAGAGTTTGGCTATCTGCTCTAGGCGTCCCTAATTTAACAGTGATAATCTAGAGGGAAGGCAGCTAGTCAACACCACCTTTTGTTGGTCAAGTCTTTTACCAACGAATAGTGGGGTTGACCGAAACATTATAACGCCCACGCGGCTGAAAGGGCGAGCATGTTCGGTGACGGGGATTTGAACCCGCGACCCTCAGATTGCGTGTCGAGCGCCCTAACCACCAGACTATACCAGGCCTGCTGAAAGAGAGATACACTATAACAAAGTCGAATACTCTT